TAGTTCTCAATAGGATTCAAATAGTGAGATTACTAAACAGAATAAACATACATCAATCAAATTTGACCTCTTTATAAATAGAAAAGATTATATCTCTGTATGTGTATTGAGTAGTTAAATATACTTCATCAAATCCTTAAACAAACTGATTTATTGTCGTTAGGCTTCTAACTTAAGGGGAGGAACGGAATACAGTGGAGAACTCGGAATCAAATAGAATAGTTGGACTTTGTAGATGATGTAGTTCTTCTATCCATGCACACGAACAAATACAAGTGATGATAGCCAGTGTAGTGACAGTCTATTCATCAGTAGGTCTCAATATACACAAATGAAAAGGCGAGATCTTCAAATACGACACAGAGAATACCAATCTAGTCATACTTGGTGGAGAAATTCTGGAAGATATGGATGCGTTCACGTTCCCACACAGCATCATCGATCAACAAGGAAGATCCAATGCAGATGTAAAGGCAAGGATTGGCAAAGCAAGCACCACATTCCTACAGTTGAAGAACATGTAGAACACAAAACAACTGTCAATCAATATCAAAATTACAATCTTTAATATGGACGTCAAGACAGTTAGTTCTGTTGTATGGAGCTAAAACGTGGAGAACTATCACAACCATCATTATATGTGTACAAGTATTTATAAACAATTGTCTACGTAGGATGCTGAATGTCCGTTAACCGGATACCATCATCAACAACCTACTGTTGGAGAGAAGAAATCAGCTTCCAAATGAGGCCGCCCACCAGCATTCTTCATCCAATCCTGTCCTGTGCAATCCTTTCCAGTTGCTATTCATCCTTTTCATATCTGCTTCTATTTCCCGACATAACGTGTTCTTTGGTCTTCCTCTTATCCGCTTCACTTCTGGATTCCAAACTAGGGCTTGCCTTGTGATATAGTTTGATGATTTCTTCAATATATATCATGTCCACTTCCAATGTCTTTTCCTAATTTCCTCTTCAGCCGGAAGCTGGTTTGTCATCTCTCAGTGGATGTTGAGTATCTTAAGTAGACAACTATTTATGAATATTTGCACATATATGATGACCGTTGTAGTAGTTCTACACGTTTCAGCTCCATAAAACAAAACTAGCTGTTTTGACGTCCGTATTAAAGACTATGACTTTTATATTAGTTGTTTTGTGTTCTATATGTTCTTCAATTGTATGAATGCGGTGCTTGCTTTGTTAATCCTCGTCTTTACATCTGCATTGTATCTTCCTTGTTGATCGATGATGCTGTGCAGGTATGTGGACGTTTCCACATCTTCCAGAATTTCTCTATCAAGTGAGATCGGGTTGGTATTCTCTGTGTTGTATTTGAGGATCTTGCTTGTCCCTTTGTCTTTTTTGAGGCCTACTGATTCTGTATGCTGTACTACCATACAAATATATTCCACACTGAGTTAGAAAGAATATTTCATTGAATATGCACATCACGTTTAGTGAAAATCTATTCATACAGTTTATCTCAGGGTTTTAATACAAGTTATAAATTAGTTTTGCTCATTTTTTGTTTAAATGAATTAATAGAAATGACCTAAATTTGAACTTTTCTCTTTCAGTCAAATGAATATATATAAATCTTTACAGACGTTATATAATCAATGAGTAGAGAGTTTTCTTGGGAAAATAATAGTATTATAGTGAACGAGAACATAAGTGTGTGTGTGGGGGGGGAGGGGACAGAATCACTTAGTAAAATCTAAGAATCATACAGTAAATGCTTACTGAGCAAAATATCAATTCATTGTATTAAACTTCATTGTTTTTATCGTTTCCATACCAATCATTCTCTGTTCTCATTCTCTTTTCTTCGATGTTCTTAACCTTCTATCATCAGGCAATTTACTTTTGATTGATGATACATACTACTTATGTAATGATCAGAACACGACTGGGGACAATCGAATGTATTAAAGCAAACATTACAGATTATCTTGGTAAATTCTGATTACCAAAGAATGAACAGTCAATTTGCAAATTAACAACCAATTGTTTCAATCTTCACTGTTTCTTCAATAATTCCATTGTTCATGCATTTTCCAAACGATTGAGCTTCATTTCAGTTCTTTCCTCATTGGTCTTCTTCCAAAATACATTCTATGTCTGACCCACACCATATACTACTTATATGGATATAAGTAGACAACACCACACTTATATCTGTTGACATCAGTAGTACACATCACAGTATTATTGAATATTTGATAATGAATTTTTATGATATGAGTTGAAAGAAAATAGGATAGATCAACATTCTGTACGATTCGTATCATATACATATATATCACAAATCACAAAAATGACCTCAACTGTCATTCAAATTGATTATTTTTTTTGTATTTTCACAGTTGAAATCATGAGTCAATTGAAGCTAGACCACCATCGAAAACCTGGAAGCACTGGACGGCCGTTTCGTCCTATTATGGGACTCCTCAGCAGTGCGCATCCACGAACCCGCTCTCGCGAGCGAGATTCGAACCCAGGACCTACCAGTCTCGAGCCGAAGCCCTTAACCGATAGACCACTGAGCTGGCATCCAACGGTGTTTTTTTTCGTGTGTTTATTTAACAATTTTCTAAGGAAAATTATGTTCATTAGTTAATAGTCGTTTTATTCAAGCTTGTTATGATAATTAATTTGTAAGTATCTTTGGTTGATTTTTATGAAATGGTTTAAAGCAATCGTTGACATTAACAATAGCATGATTCAATTTCTTGTGAATTTAACTGTGTTGCATAAACTGATGGCTACGTGAACTCTATGGAAAAGTCTTCAATAGAGTATTGTTAAACAGGATGAAGGATTCCGTGGACGCCCAATTTCGAGATCAACAAGCTGGATTTCGTAAGGATAGATCATGCACAGATCAAATCACAACTCTACGTATCATTGTGGAACAATCAATCGAATGGAATTCATCACTCTACATCAACTTCATTGACTACGTGAAGGCATTTGATAGTGTGGACAGGACGACAATATGGAAGCTTCTTCGACACTACGGCGTGCCTGAGAAGATAGTAAATATCATACGGAACTCCTATGATGGACTAAACTGCCAAATCGTCCATGGAGGACAACCCACCGACTCGTTTGAAGTAAAGACCGGTGTTAGGCAAGGTTGCTTACTCTCACCCTTTCTCCTGGTGATCGACTGGATTATGAAGACGTCAACATCTGGAGGAATGCACGGGATACAGTGGACAGGCAGGATGCAGCTTGACGATTTAGACTTCGCGGATGATCTGGCTCTTCTATCACAAACGCAACAACAAATGCAGGAGAAAACGACCAGTGTAGCAGCAGCCTCAGCAGCAGTAGGTCTCAATATAAACAAAGGGAAAAGCAAGACTCTCCGATACACTACAACATGCACCAATCAAATTACACTTGACGGAGAAGCTTTGGAGGATGTGGAAACCTTTACATATCTGGGCAGCAATCTCAAATAGAGTGATTAGCGTTCCAAACATTTTGTCAGTCATTTTTACTCAATGTGGAACCTGACACGTGTGCGTTGGTTGAGATTGACATACTACATTGGCATAAGGAGACAATAGAGAAGTAGAAGTAGTAGTAGTAGAAGAAATAATTGGAGATTTTTCAACTCAGAATCCAGAAGAAGAGAAAAGTGAATATAGTTATACCATTACATAAACTCCTGACCCTTGTCACATAGCGACTTTAATCATTAGTTTAGCTAGTTGCATGGACCCTAACCAAGATAATTGTACCTAGCAATATCATTCATTTCAAAAGTTCATGACTTTATGATCTGATGTCTTAATTTGGTTACTCTTAGATATTTTCCAACTTATTCTTACACTAACTAACATGCATATTCCATCTTAATTTATCAATACAAACTAATTGCCTTATCAGTATTAACTAATCTAAAACATGAAACATGATCAAAAGTTTTCCCATGAGATCAAAACAGGTTGATTAATATGAACAGCTGTTCTATTAAGAGAGTAACAATAAACCAATAAAGGAAAAAGGAAAGCTTTCTTTTAATTTCATCATATGTGAAAATGATTCAGTTGTTTCATGAATTTCCAAAGGGAAAAATACAAATTCAATTCTACGAAATAAGAAAAACACCACCATCACCATAGCAACAACAAGAACAACAACATGGCTTTGGGTGATCTAAACATTCCGTAATACATGTTGATCATCTTTTTTTTAGTGTCTAAAGTTTATCAGTCATTATGACTTATCTATTCTAAGTATTACATAAAATTTTTACATAATGACTAAATAAAAAAATTAATATTTTGCACAGATCATAATTCATTTTATAAATGATAATCAATTGTTATTTACTTGATAATAATAGTATATCAGATGATTTACTGACTTCAACTGGAACCAAATGTTAGTGCTCACATTGAAACTCGAATCTAGTACCATTAAGATTAAATTCTTAACGCCTTATTCATTGAACTACTAAATCCAAATACTCACTAACCTCTTCAAATGATCTGAAAATGTTACTAATCATTTTTTTTAATTTCCCACTCTCGACATTTGAAGGGAAGGATATAGGGACCGAGTTTCAGTGTAAACAACACAGACGCTAACATATCCAGCTGATAAATCGCGCACTGAATATACTAAAACTAGTACCACAATGCTAGATAAAAGTGATATGTTCGTAATGATCAAATAGAAATGAAAAATAACCAACTGCAATCCTGAAAATCGACAATTGCAAATTTTAAACCATTATCAATAAAATGGCAATGTTTCAAAAATGATCAGTCTTTCAATAATTTACCAAATCTCAAAGGAATTCACCATACAATGGTAGATGGTTTATCATTTTATAAACTATATATTATTTCCATTATATGTGAATAGAGTAACAGGCGTAAGTAAAAGTAATAAGTCAATATACAGAGGAACCTTGACGACTAATGGTATCTAAGCAAATATGACTAGTTGTTTTTTGAAAAACAAACAAACAAATGAAATTCACTTTTTTAGAAATTTTATTTTATTTTAGTATTAAAATTAATTTAATTAACTAATTATTCAAAGTATGAGAGTTTAAAAAATATATTAAGTATGAAAACCATCACTTGATTGATATACTCAAAACATATTTTGCAAAATGATTTAAGCTACTTACAAGTAGTGTAAATTGAAAACAAAAAAATATGTGGGAATGTTATGACGACAACAACATGAACAGATGGTTATTACATAAACTGTCCTCTAAAAACAGTTCTAGGGTAATGAATTCTTGGTCGTGAAGAGTTGTTTTTCTTTTAATCTAAAGGGAATTGTGATAGCGAAATATGTTGATAAAAACTATTTCCCATAAAATAATTATACAACTTAAAAATGAAATATGATATCACAAATATTTGGGAATTCATTGAAACATTTGTCAATCAACTCTTATTAATTTCATTAATGTATTCATTGTTTTGCCTTTAGGTCCGAGACCACCATGTAACCAAGCTGTACCATCATTACTACATACTGCAGAGACTGCATATGCTCTTGGTTCATCAATTGTACCAATTCTAAAAGGATAAGGATATAAATAGTGGGTTTTGTATTAGTGTGAGTATATTAAAAACGAATTATGGATAGCGATGTGTTGATATTTGGAAGTACGATAAATGGAACCTTGAAGTCGTGTTTTATCGAATTGAATTGGTAAGTTTACTTCCTTCAATCAGCTTCTTTCCTATTACCCTCTATGCGTTAACGGATGTATGAAATTTATTTATCCAAGAGCGATTCTTGTATTCGACTAGTCTTTTTTTTTGGTCATAGATTAATGCAAATTAAGTCGATGAATATGTAAGAGGTTAAGCCTGATTTATATATTTCGTTAACATTAATATTTGATCATATGGTTTCAAATTGTAGTCCTATAATGTGACTCACATCCAAGAACCTGGTGAATGAGATTTTGGTTTTTAAAGTTCATTATCCTTTAATTCAAGTTATAGGCAGATATTCACTTTTCAATTGTAGTATATTTTATTCACTTTATTATTATTATTTAAACACACAAAATTTGGTACAAGGAGACAATAAATACACGTGTGCCACACAAATCTCATTTGATTTGTGTGAGGGCTGTGATACAGCCCGGGTGTCCAAACCGAACCAGGTGGCTTTCTTAGGGGGCCACAACCGGAGCCTTTGACCTAAAGGTCTGATCCACAAGGCAGTGCAGCATCATAAGGAGATGCAGTCTCATGGTAGCTTGTGATCAACGACTGATTCATACGCCATTTGTTCCCTCAGCATCCTGGAGCCCATGTACACCCTTGGTTTGTAATCAGGGTTTTCCAACTCCATTAGGTGGACTTTCCGTGTCCACCAACTCGGTTAAAGCGCCGGACGTTCGCTTTTCGTCCTCCCAATTTCGTAAACAACACTCGTGATGCAAGAAGGCAGTGAGTATGACTTCCCTGGCAGAAGCTATATACGTGTGGCCATATGAAAGCATTTCGAGAGGGAGAGCGGACTCTCCCCACTCTCGGCCGTACCAGGGAATTTGGGGGCATTTAGTGAATAACTAATCCACTTATTACATTGTTTAAATACTTCTCACTAGCATTTATATCTATTAAACATATTCAAATAAATATGCAATTCTGTTACTTTCTACAGTTCTCAATTATTGTGTCTCGTTTGGATTTAATACCATTATCATGACTATTGCAACGAATGATTGGAGATTTCGGGTGATATGGTTCAAAATCAGTCACAATGGTGTAGATGTATTTACTAATTACTTCCCCTCAAATCTTAAATTTCAAAATTATCTTACACTTTTAATTGAGTTAATTCATTCTTACCTCTTGAATTATATTATCTACGCCTGACGTTCCCGACTAACACTGGTACTATTGCTACTACTATAACTACTACTCTGGAATTTGTTTCGACTAATGCATCTCAGTGTGCTGATGCGGTATGATGGCTTGGACTGATGCTCATATGTGCCATGTTCTACGTTGCTTTTAACTGATTAGCTGACCATTATCATGAATTCCCAATACTATTCAAAGTACCATAATTGGCGCGGTTTAACTTATGCATTTATTCAAAGTTGTCTACCAACATATCTTTGGGGTATATTGAAGACTATTTAAAATAACTATTGATGCTTATCAGAGAATCTAAGAAAGGTATTACAATATATATTACAATTTATATTACAACAGCAGCTGGGAGAGTGACGAAAAGTTTATTAAACAACCTTAGTTTCCCTTCAAATATCACTTGCTCTTCCACACAATAAAGGATATCTATTACATTCATGTTGCTTTATTCAAAACATATGAAACACTTGTGTTTCAACTATTTAGTTAGTACTTCAAAGTCTAAATTGGTGCTAAATGTAATTTCAATAGTGATACAGAGGAAAAGATTTGTAGATCAGATGGATAATTTTGATTATCAGTCGTATATTCAAATTCGTGACAGTCTGTGATTCTTATTATACTGATAATGGGTACAATGCTGACATTTAACATAATTTGTTCGAAGTATCTGAGGCTAAAAGCAGAATGAGTATGAAAACTAGGATGTATCGCTGTGGTTAGTTCAAGACAAATTATTTTTATTTTCACATTTGATCTATTCCTTTGGAACTATACCTCTTGTAATCAGTTTTACTTCAATTTCTGTGGAGTTGTGATTCAGAAGTTAAGACTATTAGGTCACTGGGATGAAAGCCCACTCAATCTACTTCAGTTTACGCCACTGGATAGTATTACTAGCTTTCACACTTAAACTGTAGTTTGAAGTCAAGAACATGTACATGAGTAATGATAATAGTAATGACAATAATAAATATTGAGATTATTTTGGCTCGTTTGCAATTCATTTTGTCGATCCCCTTTCTAATACACTAATGTGAAGATTTGGATCGATAGAGTTTTGTGCTAGACACCATGTTGACGTTCAAAATCGAATGAATATTGAATAAGGTGACACTTTGAAAAAAGGTTATGTTTACGCTCATTCATTAATAAAATCCTAACAAATGCTGGCTGCTTGAACTAAAATATTAAGAAAAAACCCAACATATTAAAACTTACTCGTAAATTGTTGGTTTAACACTACTACCGTTTTCATCATACTTTAAAAGATATGCTGAATTAAGTGGGCCATGTATTAATGCATTGAAACCTTCTCCTGTTCCAATAAATAAACCACCAACACCTGGTATTATACAATGACCACGCCAACCACTGAAAGACACAAGTGTTTAAAGACATAAATAATAATAATAATAATGGGAGAAATTCAGTTAAGAAAAATCCAACCAGTTAACGACGTTATTCTTACTTCTATGAATAAAGCAAAAGAAACTTACAGCAGGATTTCCACTGGCCTCAATTCTGAGCCATTCCTGATAACGTCTCAAGCCACTATATTGCACCACCTCTAGGACCCGAACCAGGGAGTCATGAAGGACTAACATAAGCCAGTCTTGTACAGCTTTCTTTCATACCACAACACCGTGTCATACACTGACCACCTCTCCACTTTTCTCAACCGGTCTCAGAGTCGGAAAATAGTGCACGACGTGGAATTCACTGGGACAACATTCGTAAGACATGTCCAAGCCACCGAAGTTGATGTTTCGAGATGGTGATACCAACTGAATTACCGTCGCTGTGTCCGAACACACGATGCCGAACCTCTGCTGTGCTAACATGGTGTTGCCACTGGGTTTCAGCAATCCTTTGAAGACAACGATGATCGAACACAGAGTCGTCTAGCATGCTCAACTCAAAAAGGCCAGGTTTCACAAATATAGAAGTAAATTGATCTCACTGAAGTGTTGTGCATCCGATCTTTTACACCCAGATTAACATCACGAAGGCGCCAAAGATGGCTCAAATAGGCATAGGCCACTCTGACTTTCGTTATACGTGAATTGATCTCATCACCACCACCAGCACTTACGCAGCTACCTAGATACATGAACTTCCTGAATACTTCTAACTTCTTACTACCAAGATTGAGTTCAGGTACAGGGTCCTGTCAGCCTTTTGAAGTACATTGTACTTAAAAATTGCAAAGCACATATCATACCTACGAACACTGATTACCAACTGGTTAGATGCGGATTGTAAGGCTTGAATATCATCGCACAGTAAGACAATATTGTCCGCATACTCAAGGTCAAAAGTCTTTCTTCAGATAAAAGACCCACATTATTCATACTAACTTACCTTTGATAGGATGGTGAAAGTTGGATTATATTAGACTTTTGTTTTTGTTCAGTATCTTTAATAAAACTTGTTACAACTGTACATGATGTCAATGGATATTCAAGGCGACCAGGCCAATTGCATGGTTCTTTCTTCTTTTTATTATGGATTATTTTCCACTTTAATAAATCCACCGAATTACTTTTACAACCACCAATAGTAACTAACATACATGGTGTGATCGGTGTCGACGTATGATAACTTCTTGACGATACTGTGAGACTGGAATCGGCTTCGCAGTAAACGTATTTCATTCTTTGTTGAGGTGAATCCATATCGATCAAATTACCTGTTAAGAATAATTTATGAAATATTCATCATAAAAGTAGTTAAAAATATATTACGTAGTGATAAACCGATCGATAATCCGATATGATCTGAAACAGAGAAACTTGACTGTATCATTGTTAGCGGACCGAATTTTCTATTAGTCTTTGTTGGCATATATACATCCTGTAAGAATCGCCTTGATATAGCCATTCTTTCGTTCTGTACTATATCTATATATACAATCTTTCTTTTATATATTACCACCATTAAAGTAACTACTTCTACAAATTCGGTGTTCATCTTGTTGTGCTAATGAGGTATGGCAACTTGGACCGATGCATATATATGCCTGGTCCTACGTTGTAACTGACTGACTGACTAGAACAAGTGGATTGTGGTTAATATTGAAATTCAGGAAGTGCGTTTTGTCCAGTTTAGAACTTGCAGCTATATTTACCTATACTTCAGTTTTGATGCTTACATTAGGACTCGAACCTAGTTAACTCTATCATCTGGGAGGAAAGAGATTCGTAAGATAACCGAGTCCGAGGATAAGCTTCAATCACTAAATAATGTTTTATAAATGTTCTGCATTTATTTTGTAGATTTTCTCAACTACATTACATTATCTTCATCTATGTTGATACGAAATGATGGAAAGAAAAATAGAGTAGTTAGTTAATAATCAGATAAGTGTAACTAATGGGTATTATGATGAGTCATCAACTTGGAGGTCACCTGCTATTTTACTCGAATTGTATCCACTATTCCTACTTTCCGCCTTCATATAATCTTCCCTTGATAGAAATTTTTTATTAATTGAGAAGACACTGATAACAAATGTTGAAAAGTAGTTAACCTACCATATAATAAGTAAATATTCCCTGCCTTTCTTTGACTTCTTAGAGAACCTTCTCGTCCGATAATAATAGCTGAAAACGCATTCTCATCATTTAGTGGACGTATTATTTGGGCAGAATGAGCTGACAACCCAGCTCCCTGAGGAAACCCAGTAAGCAATGGTTCATTCAAGGCAGGCGGTAGCCAACTATTCGACTGAGTGTCGTATGTATGTATACCTGGTATTCTGATATGTCCATTCCATCCCCCTTTATTAAAATATGTATCACCATGAATGTTAAATAAGAATCGTAACAATTAAATAAGATAGATGTCTTGTATATGTCTCTGGATCTAAGTATGTTGCACAGTACATCTAAATTTCGATGTTAAATGATTGAAGGGAACTAGTGGAAAGCATCAGGTCTAGGTCTCATGCTAGTTAACATTTACCTCCAAAACAAATCCTTGATTTTGAGGGGGCTGACTTCCCCAGGGGGTTCCAACCTGCAACACTTCAACACTAGTTGACATCAGTTCGACTACCACAAAAAGTGTCGCCCCCCTTAAAACCACGAGTTCGTCTTGCTGACAAACGTTACCTAGCAACAAAATCTAAGTGCATGGTTTTCTACCGAATATCTTTGACTATGAAGCCACAACACATACTTCAGGCGATGTTAAATTAGCTCAATCAGTGGAAAAATTGAAACTTGATCAATAAAACTCTACTAGCAATAAGAACCACTTAACCACTGGGCATGCCAAAGTAGATCCGACCCCACTAACCCTGGGGGATAGGGTTGATTAGTCACATGATGAGGCCTACTCTACAAGACAAATAACCGGATTAATAAGATACAAATAATAACAAGCGAATTGATCAGAATGGACTGATTTTACACTCGTGGGATAGATCTATAAGGTGTACTCTTACTTTCGGCAAGCATTGATGTTATTCAGAGTGTCAACTGAAGCTCAGTAACTGAGCCCTACGATTCTGAGAACGCGACACCGCTAATAATTATATCGTGTTTTGACACGTGATGATAAAATTAAGGAATTCGTCTTCTGGATGAGAAACTACGATCGATCGACTAGAGAAAGACAAAAAACGATCGGCCGTACGATAACCCTACCTACAGTTTTAGTTAGTCTCTAGTTGAGAGAGGGCAGGTTAAGAAGTGAAGAAAAGTGCATTTTCATAAGTACCTACTATTCCTAACACCACAATTCACTGTAGATATACCTAGAGACTTCAAAGATGAGAATTACACAACTAAAATGTTACTACTTAACATACTTTCATATTAACATTCATCAAAGGTGATTGATACACAAACTTACCGATAAAAACAAGATATCTTTGCTTGAAGACTAGACACGTATGTTGACTAAGAAATGGTGAGTCTGAAGATGTAATTTCTATCCATTGGCCTAATGTAGGATAAACTTGTATCTTGTAAAAGCAGTTGCTCGGGGTTTTACATGATGCATCATTAGAAGTTATTCCACCGTGCAAATAGAAATCTCCTCTTACAATAGCACCTGGAATATTTCATTCAGACCATATAAACAATACTTTATACCAGCATGGTTTTGTAGCCCAGGACCAACTGTGCCATTTATTGCATTAACCCACTGAAGAGAACATCGCTTTGCCATTTACTAAAGTTTAATGTTATGTAACACACGTGAAATGAACATTTTCAGCAATTATGATATATTCAGTTTTCATTAGTGGATACTCGTAAATGTAAAGGCACGAAAAGTGAACTGAATATATTAATAGTTGAAATATAATCGGCAATCTTATCCTACTCATTAATTTTACAAGCTAACTGATTGAAATCTGAACAGGTGAAGCTAAAATGATGACAGTACAATTTCGATAGTTTGATTAAAGTTTAAATAGACACTAGTATAATCTTGTCGAAAGCTAGACTGCAAAATATAAGTGAAGGCTGAGACTATAATTTATGGACGAACTAATGAAATTAGAGATAGAAGTTATTGTACTTCGACGCAAAATTCATTCAGCCATATATAGTTAAATAGGATTTTGGGGTAATAGCTGATGACATTTCTTGGTAAAAATTTACGGTCCCACCTGTGAATGTAGTATTTCCATCTCATAAAATCTAAATTTAGAACCACAAACCGATTTTGTAGAGGCTTGTGCCGCTACAAAGTCTAACAGAAGTGAAAATATAATAAACTTTTCACAGATAAGAGCAAAGAGATATCCACTCGCAATATAGTTTTTAGTATGTATGTTTCAATAACTAGCTAATAGTATATATCAGATGAAACTCAATCATCATCTCTTATTTACCAAAAGAATGTCCGGCGCTTTAACCGGGTTGGTGGACATGGAGGGTCCACCTAGGGGAGTTGGAAAACCCTGATTCCAAACCAATGGTGCACATGGGCTCCAGTATCCTGATGGAACGAATGGCGGACGAACCTGTCATTGGTCAACGGCTACCATGGGACTGCATCTCCTCACGATGCTCCACTGCCTTGCGGATCAGACATTCAGGTCAAAGGCTCCGGGTGTGGCCCCCTAAGAAAACCACCTGCTTCAGTCTGGGCACCTGGGCAGTATCACAGCCCTCACACAAATCGAATGAGATTTGTGAGGCGCATATTTATCTGGTGCTTCATTGTACCAATATTTATGTGCTTAAATAAATAAATAATAATAAATAATTTACCAAAAGATATACTGGGAATAAGCTCAACTCCAGTTCGTAATTTCGCAAACGACTTTGCGACCAATCAGAGTAAAACAGTAATCACCATTTCCGCTATCTTTGTAAACAGTGGCGGCTAGCTTGCGTGTCGGCTGACGTTTACGTGTCGCTGCAAAATTTAAGGCATTCGTGAGCTGAAATTCCGAAATTCATGTGATACTTTAGGTTTTGGTGCTAATAGTTTTTAGGATCCTACTAGGATATCCCTAAGCCACTTTAAGAGAGGTTAGGCAATACCAAGATTTTCTAGCCTCAAGAGTAGTCTGTTTGATGACACCTTGTTAAATGCTTTGTTGAAGTCCATATAGACCACATCCACTGATTTTCCGTTGTCCAGAGCCTTTTTTCAATGCTCGCTTGCTATGAGGAGGTTTTCTGTGCAAGATAAACTCTTTATAAGACTATGTTGCTCGCTGTTTAACAAGTTATTGGTTTCCACAAATATCATCATGGTCTTTTTGACTATTCGGTAACATTAAACTATACTGCCGACCTTTGAACGAATTTTAAATGACCTTGAGAAATATTAGCCAATCAGAAGACAGTTAGTATACAGTAAAAATATATTATACAAAACCAAAGAATTAAAGTGGAAACACTTCTTTTACATGGGTCAAAAACTTCTCAAGGTCAGATATAGGTTCAGAAGTTTTAAAATCTTAGTGCATACGGTACAGGAACACATCCATATGGCTCCATAGTAGTCGACCTCTGAAACCATGATAAGGTCTCAAAAATTCTTTTAGCCCTGACCACATAGCTTCAATAATGTTAGTATATTGGTATGGTTTACGGGTTAGGGTTAAGATTTAGGTGTAGGGTTATGGGTGAGACTATAAGTTATGGACAATCTTTGAGCGACGCTAGAGTGACTCTGAGAGTGTCAACATAATAACTAGGACCAAATGAGGGTTATAAACCTGTGTGAAGAATTCAAGTTATGATTTACAGTTCATGATTAAGGCTAGGGATTATACTTAGGGTTTTCATCACGAACTGACATCAGCTATAATGCCAAAACTCTATTTATCCAAATGGATAATTGAATTTCGCGCCAAAATCTTATGATCGCTTCTATTGTAGACGCCAAATTATCACGTCTTCCCTAAAATCCGCTGTAAACCGACCGTACGTAAGCATCAGTTATCGAACTTAGCGCCGTGACCTTGAAAACCCGCGAAAGCTTCTGATTGGCTCGGCAGTATAGTTTAATCCTACCGACTATTCTTTACAGTATTTCAACTAAGGCTGATGGGCCCGTAGTTCGATGGAAGTTGTCTTGATCCTGTTTTATGTATGTGAGTGACGACTGCACCCTTCTAGTTCATAGGTAACACACCTTGGTCAAGTGACATATTGAATATCACAGTCAATGGAGACTTCGAAGTCTCGTTTTCTAGGTTTTTGCTACTGCTACCCAGGCCAGAGTATTCTTTTCGAGGTACTATGATAATTATAAGTATTCGAATTATTGCATTAACAAGTAATTCCGAAAACGGTGCAATTTAAACCAATAGAACTAGGTGAGCACAAACGAACGCACTGCATTTAGAATTCAAATCAACCAGGAATCAAGTACATAACAATCATTAGTTCATACAAACAGTAGTTGTGCTTCATAGTTTATGTGGTATAATGTTAAACCGTTTCGTTTGGCAGTCGTCATTTAAATGTTTGCGACAAATCTTTGTTCTCATTTTGATTGCAACACTAAGCGCGCTGTTTAAAAAGGACAGTGGTATTTTCCTTTGGGTATATTTTATGGTATTGTTCGTTTAATTACAGATAAGGATTACTGTTATTGCTTTAGTTGAATTTATTTCAGTCAAACTAATCCCCAAGAGTACCATATTTTTATAGAGAGGTTTATCATCTGTACTTTTCGAGTATAGATACAAAAAACTAAAGGCAATGACATTTATTTTTTCTTCATTTAGTATATTTTTGAGTATTTTTTGTATGCATAGGTGTTGAGGTCTTTTTTAGCTGCAGAAGTAAGATTTTTTGTCTTTTTATTGTTGTTTGGTATGGTTATATACAAACCTCTGTTTTTGTTTGTGTGTTTATCACCTATCAAGCTTTATGAGACATTCTATCTAGAGATTAGTCTTCGCTGTGAGATCACAAGACAAATAGATAGACATTGAAAAGGTAACAGGATCGGTTGAATTACATGCCAAAATCCTGAAACATAGTGCATAATATAACGCAGCTCCATTGACTGTGATATTCAACATATCACTTGACCAAGGTGTGTTACCTATGGACTAGAAGGGTGCAGTCGTCACTCACATACACAAAACAGGATCAAGACAACTTCCATCGAACTACGGGCCCATCAGCCTTAGTTGAAATACTGCAAAGAATAGTCAAAAAGACCATGATGATATTTGTGGAAACCAATAACTTGTTAAACAGCGAGCAACATAGTCTTATAAAGAGTTTATCTTGCACAGAAAACCTCCTCATAGCAAGCGAGCATTGAAAAAAGGCTCTGGACAACGGAAAATCAGTGGATGTGGTCTATATGGACTTCAACAAAGCATTTAACAAGGTGTTGTAAGATCGTCTACGTTGATGATCTATGTCAAAATGATTGGGGGCCTACTAGAGTTAGACGAGAATGGTGACGAGCCAACTAACGCTGAAGTCCCAATTCGCGACCAGCCCTTACGTGGATTGAACCATCGACGCATCAAAGGATAATGGATGCTATGGAGACTGTACAACACAAAGGACGTTATTACAAGAATATATTAGTTAAGGTACAACTATGGAAGTACAGAAGTGAAAGAATAACCACTGCAGCGTGGGCCAGTCCATGGCGTATAATTGATTGATGCGAGGTGACTATCCTTGACCTTGACAGGGATCAATGATCTGCTCGGTATTCAGTGGCCCTACAATACTCCCCCACCAGATTCAACGGCCGTTTGAATCGATGCCAAAAATGTTGGGAGTAGTCGCGCGACGGAGGTTGCCAGACGATTAATATGAATCCTCCGGGTATTGCCGAGCTATAAAAGAAATGGAACGGAGGCTGCAGTAACTGATCGGGAAACAACGAGTAATAACACGTAACAAGGACGTTGGTTGAATGTTAAGCGATCAACCATAGAAATAATAGAAAAAGAAACATTTTGGAGTTTTATCAAGTCGCATTGAAAAAGATAGCTCTGACAAGTGGTTGAGTTCCTCAGGTAAGAAAAGGTAAGTTTGTCGCAAGAGTAGTGATGTCACAGTGATAGTACGATAAGTGTATTATCAATCGATGCCGATGTTTGTACTACCCTTGGTACAAAGTAGAAAGTCAGTAAGTGTCTCTGACAACTGTTCGTAAGTGTCGATTTCTAGTTATATCTATATTTAACAGACTAACTGTAAGCACAGAAGTATAACCGTGAAGATAAGCCGTGGTTTCCTTGTGCGAAGCATCTGATCAACTTGCAGCCAGTTTGGAAAAACTGATAACTGCTGTGAAAATCAATAAGGGTCGAAGAAATGCAGATCGAGAGCGAAAGGTGGCACGATGAAATCTCTGAAAGATGATAAACGGTGGGTGCTGCACATGTGCTTGATGAGTGAACCGAAAAATGTCGAAAAGAACATAAGAAACCAAGTGTCACTCTGGACTCATGTCGATGATATCGGTGAAAAATGCTGTCAGTGTTGGGGTCGAGACGACAATATCGTTGTCAGTTTGCAGGAGATGTGCTCGACTGCGTAAACCGATGATTCGCGTGAATGAGTGTCGTCAAACCACCAATTGAACTGGACAGGCTTTAGATCGTCGAATAGTTGAACAGCCGATTGATGTACCGAAATCATCTGTTAGATAACAGCCACGCGTAAACAATACTTCATAAGATAAAAATACGACGTCGAAGTTAAATAACTACAATAGTTCGGATGTGTTGTAATGTCACATCGAAGTAACATCATTTCGTATACTGACAATTGTACTGAACGTTTGTTTGGGCATTGTTTATGTAGCAATTGGATGTGCAGTAGCAAACATATACGAAGACTATCTTGGGGTTTGTGGAGAATTTCAGAAGACGTTTAGATATTTTCCAAACCCTTATTGCATGTGAATAAGCCGAAGACGGAATTAAAGTGACTTTCGTTCAATAAGGAAATCGAGCCATGATTTACTGTGTGAAATAACAGCAAATACAAAGCGCATAGTAAACAATAATTTAAATGGTAACCACCAATGTAACTAAAGTTGAGGTTTAGATAACGTGATCGTTTCGTAAAATGGCTTATTATCCAGCGTTAAGTGACATATTAAATATGATGAATATCTAGTAAGGACATGGACTAAAATTGTTCGTGTACACGTAATACGTTTTTCTACAGCATGACGACTTACGAGTCATAAATGTACATGTTTTCGACTAAAACTTGAAGGTAGTGACAGAATATATGACTACTTTACGTAAACATATTCGCGAAATGTTATTAGACATCATAAACATTATACGAAATTATTTAACACAGCTATGAAACTCACCTGGGTTACTCTTGCTCCGAAGTAATTGAAATTTGTTGATTAAATTCGTAGATTAACGAAGCGTTAGAGACTGAATTGGTATACGTCCAAATTTCATTTAAGCCAAACACGTAGCATTGCCTGGCGAAACAGTCTAAACAAGATCTAACATTGCAGGAAATTTTTAGTT